TAGATTCTATTTATGGATGGATAGATTCTATTTAAGCATGTGGCTTATCAAGCCCAATCTTTTTTATTCTTTTTCTTAGCAAAGTGTCTGCTGTAAAACACAGGTTTTGGCATTGCTCACATATTTTACTGAAAAATATCTGATCTATTTTTGTGGATATTTGGGGTTGAAATGTTAAATGAAATAATTCATTTCTTTGTTGCTAGGACTGGCAAGAAATTATAAAGTTATACGAAAAAGATAATATTTATTTAGCAGAAGCCGCTGATATGTTAATTAGAAATGTCAGCTATGAAATCCCTGGTTTAAAGAAACAGATTGCAAAATGTGAGCAGAGTCAAAAAGTAAGTTCTAAAATCTATAGCTCTTCAATTGTGATAATTGCTAGGAGTCTGACTGTAATGTGAGCTTGCTTAGGGAGTCTCATTGTAAGGCATCTTACCACAATTTGACCTTGCCTAGGGAGCCTCATTACAAGTTTTCTTACCACAATTTGACCTTCCCTAGGGAGCCTCATTACAAGACATCTGACCACAATTTGACCTTGTCTAGGGATTCTCATTGCATAGAGTCTGACCACAACCTGAAAGTGAGTCTGACCACAGTGTGTGTGTGTGTGTGGGGGAGGGGGTCCCGATTGCATGGCATCTCACCACAATGTGCGTTTGCCTAGAGAATCTCATTACAAAGCTTGTGATCACAATTCGAGCTTACCTAGGGAGTTTATTGCAATTCTAATTGGATAGAATGTCTAAATATGTTTTTCTCATTTACTGTCTTGTTGATGTAATACATGATATTTAATCTAGTGAAATTGTATTGACTCTGCTTCCAAAAAGTCTGGTAATTGAACGGACACTGAAAATATTAATGGCTGGCCTCTAAGTAAATAGTGTCATTGTTTCATTTCTACAGGATTGTGAAAGGAAAGAGAAAGATTATGAAAGTAGTGCAGCAGAACAGAGAGAACAATATAATACAGCATGTAAACAATTTGGTATTCAGGTAAAATGTATGCAATTATTTTAACAACAGAGTTCAATGTTAATTTGTTTTACTTGTATAATGGTAGTCAGCTAACATATGGATGTTGTATATCACTTCAAATATTTATATCGGATATAATGCTTCCTATAGAAATCTCCAACATGTTATGCATTTATTGCAATGCACTGATATTATGAAATGAAATTTATCCACATGTATGTCATGTACAATATTTGCAGATTCTCAGCACTGATAATTGTGATGTAATCTCTCTGTAGGGGAAAAAAGTGAAATCTGAATTACTACAGCTTGTCAAAGACTTGCCTGTATTTTATGAAGATGTTGTTGAAAAAACAAAAAATTTACAGAAAACTTGTGATTTTTACAAGGAATTCGTTTGTTTTACTTCTGCTGGGTAAGTTTAATTGCTAATTCTGATGATAATGTTTTGTTCTACATCATGTTCGATGTGGGTCCCATGTGATATGCACAACATTCGTTGTTAACATGAAATTTGAGCATGAGCTGTATGACAACCACTGCACTTTAAAACAATACTGCTGCTGTTGTATTTGCACAAACTTTGTATGTACACATAGTATATCCCAAGATACATGAACATACAATGAATCTGTTGCAACTGCGCTGTATTATAACATAATGTGTTTGTTCTGATTTAGAAGTTCAGATTCTGAATCAAAGTTAGAAACTACATCATTAGTGAGGTATATCATCAATAATGGCAACACAACAGTTTATCAATGGCGGACAGGGGAAGCACCGAGTAGGGTTGAAGAAATACAGATGGACATCAGTGATGATGATGACAATAAATCACAAGAAGATGAGGTACATTGTCATTTCATAAATGTTTTGTTCGTTTTCTCCTGTTTGTCTGTCTGCCTCCCTCTGTAGTCTGTTCCACTGAAATCTTAAAAAATTAATCATCAAATTCAGATGTGATTCAATAGTTTGATGAGACAATATAAAGTATTATTTCTAAAAAATAAATTTATTTATAAAATTTAGGAATATTCATTTGATTACATAATGATGTATGTGCACATACAATGGTAGGTAGGTAACCAGAAACAGATGTGCATTAAATATAAAAAGAAAAATGATTTTTAGTCAGTGTGTGGGCCATTTCAAAAAGGGGTCACTGACAACTTTGGGGGAGAGGGTGTCTGGACCAAAATACTGTCAAATTAAAAAAATGATAAAAAAAAATAAGTAAAAAAACATCACACCAGAAAAGAAACTTTTCATGTTCAAACAAAGTAGACATGTCTAACTTACCATTTTTTTTGTTTTAAAAATAAAACAGATTTCTTATTTCTGTGCTTTTAGAAGGCTGCTTTTTGACATAATACAGGATGTCTTCAATTTATAAATTAATACGTTCATAGATTTCATGCAACAATGAAGCATTTGCTTGCAGTAGTCTGTTGTATCGTGATGATCAATGTATTTCAATTTGCAGATTGATTGGGGTGACTTGGATGAGGGTGAAGTTGATTATGGAATCACTGTAGATCAAGCTGGCATTGAAGTTCAATCTGAGGTTGGTACCTAACCAATTTGCTGATTTTAGTTTACCCGATAGTACCGGTATGTGTGTAACTTTAAATGCTTCTCAGCCTCCTAGCTGGTGGATAACTTGAGTCGACTCAACTTTTGGTTCTAAGTACTGTAAAATACTTTATTTTAGCTGGAATTTATTTTCACTGAATTTTGACGAGTTGAATGTAAACTATAGGGAAAAAGGTATATTCACTGGATTGTATTTTCACTGAATCATTCCTTAAACAAAAATAGCGAAAATTAATTCCAAGTGAAAATAAAGTATTTCACAGTATATATTAATTAAAGATTGTCTAAGTTGTCATGGCAATGTAACTACATCCTATGAAAGCTGACATTTATTTTCACTATTTAGATGTTTTGAGCATATTCACTGTTTTTCTAATTTCACAAATTTGTCAAGGAAATAATGAGTTTTATTGTTATTTTACATGTTCACGTAGATTTAATTTAGCAGATTTTACTTATCAGCAAAAATAGCAAATGTGTATTGAAGATTGAATTCAAACAATCCATTAGAAATTATTTGTTCTTTTTCTATGAATGAGGATATTCTGTCAACAAATTTGTTATTTTCAACAAACAGTGTAACCCTTATTGGATGTTCATAATGTGCTTGTAATTAATATTTCAGAGTACAGATGATGGAGATTTGAATGTATCTGAGAAAGGTGTTGCCATGGGGATGGATGCATTGACTGTGTTAGACAGTCCATCTATGAGGAGTACCTTTATTGATGAACTATTAGAGGTATTATTTACACGCTTTAATTGAATTCTTATAAGGAAAATTTTCGCAAAGTCTGCATTGCAAGTAAAAATGGACATTCATACATGTCGCAGGGAATAACTTTTCAGAAAAAAATCTTCACTCAAAATATGTTAGCTTCATTTGATGAATGGTATTTTAAGTTTCGAGACTCCCCTAATCTACTGTACACCCCATTCCTTGACCTTTTTCCATGAATAGTGCCACCTATTGTGCATTTTTTATTACTTTGTTTTTCTAGCTTGAAGGTTTCTTATTGCAAAGACTGAATGAGATGAAAGGAGAGTCGGATATTTTATCAGCCAGTCAGTTCCAGTCCGCACCTGTCATTCTACAGATGCAAGGCACTGAGCAAGTCAACACTATGTTAGCTCAAGTTCAAGCAATTCTGAAGCAGCTGACAACGGTCAGAATTCAACAGTTGTTCCTGATAAAGGGTTCCCCCAAGTAAGTACACAACACTTGTCTGTTGTGATACAATTTACATGTCTCAAATTACATTTAAAATGAAGTTGGTATAATATAATAGCAGTAAACTGCTGCAGAAGTTGGGTATACCATTCAATTTTACATAATCTTTTTATATACAAACAAGCGTCAGCAGGTGTGTATTTGGTGTGAATTGTGCAAAGTATTGTCGTATACCTGCCATCGGCGGTGTTTTATTGTTAATAATGTGTCACAAGGTGTCTGGATTTTAATCATAAGAAATAAATTGCATGTTGTACGCAAGAGATTTATTTATATACCGGTATATATTTATCATAATAATATAACCTGATAACAGCCCATACTTGCTTCTATGTTATCGATAAAGAGCCATTGCTCGAAACGTCTAGCTACTTTTAATAGTTATTTAGGACTACGATTACCAAATATTATCTTCAATATATCATACTGTGGTAGGATTTGTTGCCACAAGATATCATAGTTTTTATACATAAACACAATACTGTAAAACATGTTGAAAAAGTGGCATGCAATTTTAGCGAATTGTGATAAAATGACGTAATAGCGAGATGTTGATTTAGCGAATCTCTCTTGTCATTGTTGATTTACTGTTTTCACAATACTTGTCTGTCGCGCGACAAAACAAATGCTGCACCTGCATAAATACAAAGAAAAACTGTCAAGTGTAACTAGGAAGCGCTTCAGATTTTTATCTATTTACTTTTCAATAAAGTGTATCTATCATGTCAGTACGTTTTTTTTGTGTTGTTTACAAAGTGTGTGTGGAGAAAAAAAAAACATTGTTTGGCGGCCATTTTGAATTTATAATAAAGTCATTAGCAACATCTTGTATTAGCGAATCAGTTCTCTTGCTAAATTCGCGAAAAAAGACATGCTCGCGAAAAAGACATGTTTTACAGTAGTTATATCACTTAAAATTGCACGCCATGAAGGTACTGACATGTTTTACAGTAGTTATATCACTTAAAATTGCATGCCATGAAGGTACTGACATGGTTTTGCTATATTTTAAATGTTTAATGAAAGCTTTGATGGTTGGGTCCACACTGATTTCTCGTCATCATCTTATTATTAGGTATGTTGACAAACTGACAGACACACTGAAAGAAAAATTAGAACATGGGGAAAAGATGCTTGCCTCTAAAAAGGCTGTCATTGATAAGAGACACTCATTCCTTGAAGAACAGAGAAAGCTGGAACCAAAGCTTGACATTCTCATAAAAAGAACGAAGGAATTACAAGCAAAAGTAAATTTAACATTATTATTATTATTATTATTTTCATTGAACTTTGTGATATTACATCCATCAAGCTTTATCATTCATGGTAAGGCACATAGAGGCCATTACTGTAAGGCCAAGGATTTATAAGATGAGTGTATATGTAACTGTTGTCATAGGCAATTAAGATACGAATATGAAGTCAAACAAATCACAAGATGATCACAAAATCCTATAACAAAAAGCGTACATTTCTTGAGATACTAAATGCAATTGAGTGAGTCTGTGTGTCCTTGCGTGTCCGCAAAGTGTTTATTATGTGTTCGGTGTGTTTTTGAATATGGCGATAATCTTTCTCATTTTTGTTTATGCTGTTGAATGTTTAAAAGCGTGCACTGCATTCTGGGATTAGAAATATGTATCTTCATCGTATGTCACCATACATAGATACCAAAGCTGTATACCTCTATCTTATGAATCCTTGTCTTGGTCTGATTTAGAAGAAGACAACATCTTTATCCCAAAGGCATTTTGATTTGACTTCATGAGATCCTATATTATAATAGTTGTGCCTGATTGCCTGTATATATTTCTCTTGCTTGCTGCTAATAAAACATTTATATTACATAAAATTATTATCAAATAAGGAAAAAATGGAGCTCTGAGAGCCACTTGTGTTGTCCTAATTACAAGTTGAACATATTTGCATTTATGTTTCGCTTGTTGCTGTATTAAATCATCAAATAGTAAAAGCTACTGGTAACAAGTAGTATTTTCAACCTGTCATTTGGTCTGAACCTTTATGTTGTGAAGCACTTGTATATTGTTTTGTGGAAATACCTAATGACAATGTAACTGTTTTTTAATTCCAGATCGAGGTGGAAATATCAAAACGCTACAAAAATAGACCAGTTAATTTAATGGGATCTATCAGACAACTTTAGACTTGAAATTCAATTACTAGGCTGTAAATAAATGATGGTATCAAATATAAACTGAGATTGTGACTTCATTTAGAATGTGTCTGTTTGTATTAAAAGTGAGAGTAACCCGAGGTATGTTATGGATTGAAAATTAAAGTAACCCTTTCCTGAAATAGCGATAATGTACAATATGCATTGATTGAAAACAGTAGCCATGGGTAATATAGGGTTGAAAATAAAAGTGCTGTGTAATATTTGTATAGTTGAAAATGATAGTAACCCATGGTATTGTAGAGTATGGGTTGAAAACAAAAGCATCCCCAGATAATACATGGGTTGAAAACAAAAGCATCCCCAGATAATACATGGGTTGAAAACAAAAGCATCCCCAGGTAATACATGGGTTGAAAACAAAAGTAACCCTAGGTAATACATGGGCTGAAAACAAAAGTATCCCCAGGTAATACATGGGTTGAAAACAAAAGTATCCCCAGGTAATACATGGACTGAAAACAAAAGTATCCCCAGGTAATACATGGGTTGAAAACAAAAGTATCCCCAGGTAATACATGGGTTGAAAACAAAAGTATCCCCAGGTAATACATGGACTGAAAACAAAAGTATCCCCAGGTAATACATGGGCTGAAAACAAAAGTATCCCCAGGTAATACATGGGTTGAAAACAAAAGTATCCCCAGGTAATACATGGGTTAAAAACAAAAGTATCCCCAGGTAATACATGGGTTAAAAACAAAAGTATCCCCAGGTAATACATGGACTGAAAACAAAAGTTCTGCATACCGGTAATATTGGTATTGGTTGAAAGATTGTAATCCTTAGTATTGTAGAGCATGGTTTGAAAACAAAAGTATTCCTATGTTATACAGGGCATGAGCTGAACAAGTTCTGTGTAATATTGGTATTCGTTGAAAAATTGTAACCCATGGTGATACAGGGCATCATTTGGAAACAAAAGTGCTGTGTAATAGTGTTATGGGATGAAAAGAAAAGTAGCTCTTGGTAATATAGGTCATGGGTTGAGCAAAGTGCTGTGTAATATTGGGTATCAGTTATAATTGAAGTACCCACAGGTAAAACAAGACATACAAAGTATAGGTTACCCTAGGTTATGGGATGAATATAATTCTGGGTAATGTAGGGAATGGTATGAAAAATCCCCAGGGTAATGTTGGGCATGGTTTGGTAATGTATGGAATACAGTTGAAGATATCCCTGGGTAGTGTAGGGTTTAGGGTTAAAAGTATATATGGGTAATGTACAGTGCTTGTTGCAAGTATCCCTGAATAATGTAGGGTTTAGGACTGAAAATATTCTTGGGTAATGTAGGATATTGGTTGAAATAACGCTGAGTATTGTAGAATATGAGATTAAAGTATCCCTGGGTAATGTTGAATATGGGATTAAAGTATCCCTGGGTAATGTTGGATATGGGATGAAAGTATCCCTGGGTAATGTTGAATATGAGATTAAAGTATCCCTGGGTAATGTTGAATATGGGATTAAAGTATCCCTGGGTAATGTTGATATGGGATGAAAGTATCCCTGGGTAATGTTGAATATGGGTAAAGTGTCCCTGGGTAATGTTGGATATGGGTTGAAAGTATCCCTGGGTAATGTTGAATATGGGATTAAAGTATCCCTGGGTAATGTTGAATATGGGATTAAAGTGTCCCTGGGTAATGTTGAATATGGGATTAAAGTATCCCTGGGTAATGTTGAATATGAGATTAAAGTATCCCTGGGTAATGTTGAATATGGGATTAAAGTATCCCTGGGTAATGTTGGATATGGGATGAAAGTATCCCTGGGTAATGTTGGATATGGGTTGAAAGTATCCCTGGATAATGTTGAATATGGGATTAAAGTATCCCTGGGTAATGTTGAATATGGGATTAAAGTATCCCTGGGTAATGTTGAATATGGGATTAAAGTGTCCCTGGGTAATGTTGAATATGGGTTGAAAGTATCCCTGGATAATGTTGAATATGGGATTAAAGTGTCCCTGGGTAATGTTGAATATGGGATTAAAGTATCCCTGGGTAATGTTGAATATGGGATTAAAGTGTCCCTGGGTAATGTTGGATATGGGATGAAAGTATCCCTGGGTAATGTTGAATATGGGTTGACAGTATCCCTGGGTAATGTTGAATATGGGTTGAAAGTATCCCTGGGTAATGTAGGATATGGGTTGACAGTATCCCTGGGTAATGTAGGATATGGGTTGAAAGTATCTCTGGGTAATGTCGGGGTGTGGGTTGAAAGTATCCCTGGGTAATGTCGGGGTATGGGTTGAAAGTATCCCTGGGTAATGTCGGGTATGGGTTGCAAATATCAATGGGTAATGTCGGAGTATGGGTTTAAAATATATATGGGTAATGTCGAGGTATGGGTTGAAAATATTTATGGGTAATGTCGGGGTATGGGTTGAAAATACCAATGGATAATGTCGGGGTATGGGTTGAAAATATCAATGGGTAATGCCGGGGTATGTGTTGAAAATACCAATGGGTAATATAGGA